AATGAGCATGATGGGTAAAATTAATAACTTTTTAGGTTTAAATATTCATCAGATAATGGAAGGAATATTTATCAATCAAGAGAAATATACTCGAAACTTGCTTGAAAGGTTTGGCATGACAAATAACACGAAAGTCAAAGCACCTATGGTTGTTGGCACACGCTTAAGTCCTTCGTTGGATAAGCCTAATGTAGATCTCACGACGTATAGGAGCATGATTGGTTCATTTTTGTATTTAACTGCAAGTTGACCTGATATTATGTTTGTTATATGTAATTCTGCCAGGTACCAATCGAATCCTAAAGAACCCCATCTTACTGAAATCAAAAATATCTTTTGATACCTTAAAGGTACAGTTTCGTTAGGATTATGGTATCCTTAAAAAACAAGATTCTTTATCCAAGCATTTTCTGGTACGGACCTATGTGGATGTCAATTGGATCGGAAGAGAATAATTGGAGGGTGTCAATTTCTGGATGGGAAACTTGTGAGCTAGAAATAAAAAAAACAAACCTGTGTCTCTATTTCGACAGTTAAGGCAGAATATATCGTTGTTGCTGCGTGCACATCACAAGTGATTTGGATTCAAAGACAATTGTGTGATTATGCAATCAACATCAAGAAAATACCTTTATATTGCGAATCTCAAAGAGAAATTCACATTTGTCACAATCTGATCCAACATTTGAAAACAAAACAAATTGCTCTTCGTTATCGTTTTATCAAATACCATGTTGAAGATGGAAACACTGAAGTCCGCTTTGTCAAAATAACATATAAACTTGCTGACATTTTCACAAAACCTTTAGATGAAAAATCATTCATAAGGATTTTTAATGGAATGGGAATGATGCACACAAGCTCTGTTCCATATTTTTCTTGAATTTGACTTAAACATATGTTCTACCTTACTTTCGATTGCTTTTATTAATTTCGATTAGTGAGTATAACTTTCGTTTGTTTTATTCACTTTCGACTGTTTGTGTTATGTTCACAGGTTATTATTCATGTTAAGCATTCGACTGGCTTCACATTCGACTTCCTTCTGAACCGTTCAGTACAGGATTTCAATTCACATTTGATGAAAGACTATCGACGAGCAACCTACTCTTGAAGATGGTTGGCTTATGGGTTGAAAGTATCGAGGTAATGTTTCCATTGATTTTATTTTTGTTTTTGCTTTTAAAAAAACAAAATTCCAAAAAGATTTTTTTTTTTGCTTTTTCAAAAATCAAAAATCCAAATTTTTTTTCTTTTTTTTTTTTATTTTTTCAATTATCAAAAATTCAAAATGATTTTTTTTTTGCTTTTTCAAAAATCAAAATTCCAAAAAGATTTTCATATTTTTGTTTTTATTTTTCCAAAAATCAAATCCAAAAAGATTTTCTTAAAATTTGTTTTTTCTTTGATAAATACAAAAATATTTTCGTTGAAATCTCATTGTAACAACATGACGCTCTTTCGCATGCCACATAAAAATATTCATCAAGGGAACATGTATTATTCGACACTATCTACTAGTTATATGTCTCTAGAAGCATGTTGTAGCATGTAGTCCTCAAAACCTCAAAGCCTCTCTGTGTTCGAAGCCTTAATGAAACCTTTCACTTGAAAGTTTCTTCCCAATCAGGCTATATTTACATTAGTCGACGAGCTACCTTACTCTTCTCATGATGAGTTAAGAGTTTTCTGCTTGGTCCTAGTTTTTAGCCGAGGTACAATGAGTTATTTCACCAAATCTTTTTCACCCAAATTTTCTTTCACGAGAGCACACTATGACACATACCCAAGACATCTCTGGTCGAAACCTAGCAGGATATAGGTATGTCAAAACTCTGTGTTTATGATCCCGAATCATTTTTCCGTGATGAAGGTGAAACCCAAAAATCTCTAACTACAAAGAATTGACGGTGAACATTCTTGTTCAAGATTTTCACGAAACATTTGTTTCAGGGTACCATTTTGATATTCAAAATCTCATTTCCATTCGTATTGCATGATCTTGATAAAATGTTCTAATACCAAGATGTTTTTGCCCAAAAAGATCCAAATTTTCATTTTTTTGGGAATGAAATTTCTGTTTGAATATCTTCTCTGAACTTTCGTTACTTATCATCATCACCAACCATACTTGTTCTTGACTACACTGGTCATCCAAGTAATTTTGCACAACTGAATCACACTTATGTTAAGTTGTGATCTTGTGTAAAACTAGAACAACCTTCAAAACCAAAAGAAAAAGAAGCCCTTCGATACTCATCAACGAGTATTCGATTGTAATTCACGAGACACTAAATGAGCAGTTCTTTATATCTCTCGATGTCAAATGAAGAGATCTTTGCTTGGGATCAATCAGTTTTCATATCAAAAAGATTTTTGATATTAGGATTCTCACTATTTTTTTATTATTTCTTTTATCTCATTCTTTGGCACATGAAAGTACTGAAATCCTTGAGGTTTTGGGTATTACCAACTCGAAACTTAGATTTTTCAAAGTCTGGAATATGATTTCGCTTCACAATCCCATAAGCGAATTAGCCATGCCTCCATACTGGTGAATTTGTTCTTCATTTAGGAACGAAACTTGTGACGGTTCTTATCCAATTAGGAAAAAGTTAAAGATCCGATGAATGTGACAGTTCGAGATTTTCACGGGAATCAAGGAGCAACGTGATGGTCACTCTTATTATGTGGCGATTTTTATGGTGTTGGTTAAGTAACCAACACACCACGTGGCATTTTCTTATTGGGTACCAGTTCAAATTCGAAAATAACACAAGTTATAAAAGGAAGATGATGATTTCCTTTTCAACTTTCTGCTCTCTGATTAAACCTCAATAACCCTAACTGTCCATCGCTTCTAGATTCTTCAAATTCTCAACAATGGGTGCTTCTCAACGCAATGTTCATCAAACAAAAACCAATGATGAAGATGTTTCGCAACCTATGATAAAGATCACACTAATCTTCGTCTAGTATACACTCCTGATCAATACCTAGAGGAGTTACGGATGCTTGTTTAAACACTAAATAACTCTATATTATCGTATGCTCTTTCTGTTTTGTTTGTAATCCCAATGGAATGGTTGTCTCGTGTTGATTCAATTGTGGTGTTCAACAAAACAACCAAGGTGGATACATTCCAGCTTACGAATTTACAATCAAAGAAGCTCACTCGGAATCAGTTTGCACAAATTCTAAGACTACCAACTTCATGTACTTTCTACGACGTTACGAATGCTCAAGTGATTCATATGTTCAAAAAAATGGGAAATCAACTTACACTCACTATAATTAGCCACTTTAAGAAGTCCAGTCTTCCATGTGTTTGGAGTTTCTTGTTTGGGATCATTTTAAGATGTTTGACAGGAAGAAGCTATGCACATGACAAGGCCAGTCCTGAAGTATACTTAGTAATGGTGGGATTATACTATGGTCTAAATGTCAATATGCTTCACTGTTATTGGAATAATTTGGAATTTCAATTTCTCACACAAAGCTAGCAACTGGTGTGTTGAGTTCTCGATTTTGGGGATTAATTCTAAAGGTGATTTATAGTTAGGAGAATACTCTGGTTCTATCAGGTGTTGATACTATAAAATTTCCAACGATGACTACTCCAAGGGTTTTTGTGGATGATGTTAATGTCTTTCCTAATGTTGCTCAAATTCCGGATTCGATGCTCAAACTTGTGGATCCTAAAAATCAGTTGTTGGTGCAATATTTGGCTTCTATTGATTCTTCTAATCCAACTGGGGTTATTCCACCAAAGGTTTCTAAAAAGGGGGTAGAAAGAATATAGAAAGGCTCTAAGGCTCAAAAGAAGAAGAAACAAGTTGAACAACCACAAGTTGTGGAGGCGGAGATTGTTAAAGAAACCATACCAACTAAAATTGGGGTTCTTAAACGAACTAAGAAACCTTATGATTCTCCAACCAAGACATCTACGCAAGATCCATTTGTCGAAAGTGTTGATACTAGTGTTGTCGAACCCTCGAATCTGGTCCAAAGAAGGTTAGAAAGTTACAATTTACCAGGAAAGGAGTTCTTGTTCGTGAAGTTTCGTGTCATGGATCTCTAGCATCAAAGAAGCATCAAGCTTTAGATGTTGCTTAACAGTTAAAGAAGAGAAAACATGATTAAGTTTGTGTTCCACTTGTGAATGTGATTGTCGAGACTGAGAATGCTAGTGATAGCGACAGGCCAGACAGTCAAATCAAGGATTCTTTTGTTGGCTTACCATGAAAGGATACCCCTGTCAAGTCGACTTACGAGGATACACGAATTCTTGGTGTTATTGTACACGTATCTGATACGGATACAAACATCAATTAGGGTGATCAACAACAAAACAACATCCCTGAGACGGCTTTAGTTAAACCATACAGGGTTTCGAATAATGAGTCGGGTCAGGAGGAGGTCGGAACTCCAGAAATCACTGTGAACTTATCTAATAAGGACACAAATTTCAACATGATCAAAAACGAATCTAATGTCACAACTTCCATTCCACCTTCAACAATATACCAATACCTACATCACCCATTCCTACTTCAGTTCTTGTTTTGGCTGTCTCACCAATAATTTTTCATATTATACAAGAACCTATCACCACTATTTTCTCATCACAATCAACTGAGAAGTCACTTCAAGGAGAAGAAGTTGATGATGAAGATATCATGGTTTCTTTTGTCGATATTTAATTCAATCCAAAAGAAGAAGATATTCATGATGAAGTAATAGGTAAGGAATTCAAGATACTCAACTCAAAGCTCAACTCTCTTCTTCAAATATCAGCAGCTATTGGAGGAAAGAATTATGTGACTGGAGTCGAAATGGATTATTTGTTGAAAGCTCAAGAATCACAATTATGAGATCTAATTGAGATTGCTGACCAAAAACAAGCAGAACGATTGGTTGTTCATTCAAAGAGTTTTGATTGTGAACTTCAAAAGCTTCATGTTGTTGCAAAGGAATGTCATGAACTTTTCATCGAAAAGATGAATGCAACAAAGGAGTCTCTTGATATCAAAGTTGCAGAAATCAAATCTTTGATGTTGGAAGAAGAAGAGAAGATGAAGGAAAACTACAAATTGTTGCATGGCAAAGTAGATGTGATTGCTGGTGCCATAACTTATTTGGTTGAATTCAACAATGAATATACAAAGCAGCTTCAAGTTAAGTCTGAGAATGATGAAATGGTGTTTGAGAAAATGGAGGAATTCCTATATGGTATTAAAGAAACTTTATCAAAGGTGTACATTTCGAATCAATCAACCATCTCTCAAGAGTCAATATCAAAGATGGTTATGAATATTGAGTTGAATATCAAAGCCATGATGGATCCAATCCTTAGTTTGGTACTTCGTTTACCAACTAATGCTCCACGTGGTGTGCAAGTATTGCAAAGGGGAGATAGCAAAGTTAGAGGAGCTGGATCTTCCAAAGTTCCTGGTGATGATACATCATTCATGGTTGGGAAGGTTATTTCGACTCAAATTCCAACAATAATCCCCATGAAGCCAATAATTGTATCTTCGACAACAATAACTACAAAAACACATGTGTCGAGAGTGTCATTGAAAGTTATTTCGATTCAAGAGGGTGAAGGACGTTTGAGTAAAGCTCTTGTCAAAACTACTTCACCAGTTGATCTGAAAGACAAATGTAAGGTTATTCCAATCGAACAATCTAATGAGGAAAAGAAGAAGCTACAAGCTGCAGAATTGGAACGTCAAAGGCAGATAAATAGCATTCTTAGACAAAGAGAGAATAACCAACCAGGCTTGAACAAAGGTGATCCAAACAACCATTGGTGTTATGAAACAATTAAAAGACTGGATAAGAGTTTTTAGAATGAAAATTCTTATTTCAATGAACTCGATTTTGCAATCAATCACATGCTTTTCACATCTCTACAGTTCAAATTGGCAGATAACTTCAAAGACAAAAATGAGTACAAAGGCTGAAGATTCATTTTCACATAATCTTAGGAAAGAATAAAGATGCAACATGGTCTTTGGTGAAGATTGTGAAGTTGATAAAATCAAAAGGGATACTTTATTTGACGGTTTGCTTCAGAACTTTCGATATTCGGTTGTAATGGCAAGCAATGTTGAGTTTGAGTTCATAGTTGCTAATTTTCCTTTGATAAATTTGAATGATCTTATCTCAGTCACAGAGATATTGATCAATGTGGATATGCCAAATATCCCTGAGACGAATCAGAATGGCTTCATTATCAGATTTGGTCATATTAAGGCTTTTCTGGATATCTACTATGAATATTTGGCTATCACATATAATGATATTGCCATTGCTATCAAGAAGATTGTGAAAGTTCCTAAACTCTAGAAAAGGTAAAATTGAACATCAATGAATATGAAGATGGTGAAATCATTCATTAGTTGTATGGTGTTGTGTTCCAAGGAAATAACGTGAGAGGGATTTTGATGAAGTTTTTGTTTCAAGTGTCTAACTTGGAAAGATATACAAATTCTCATTTCACAAGCATCCTGATTCGAATCAACAATTGCAAAAAGAATGATGATGAAGACAAGGTAGATATAAGGAAGACAATCTTGTGGTATATGGAAATCAGAAAAGAGCTTTTACTGATGGAGAAATTGATTGCTTCTTTTCCACTTTTCTCACTAAGGGAGGAATGTTAGGTCGAATGTGTATAGTGAGAAGTCGAAAGTAGTATGTGTTTGTAAGGTGTCGAAAGTAGAATGGTTTCAACACATTATCTATTTTACAAGTCAGTTCAGTTTCGATATATAATGTCTATTCCTTGTAATTTATTGTTAATATGTTGTACCCTATAAATAGGGTAGGTACATAAAGAAGAGGGTAACGATCTGAACTTCATTTTATCTTTTACTCAAAATTATCTCTTGTACTCTTCAGACTATAATTAAACCAAACATATCTTATTTAGATCCCGTGTCCATATATAGCTTTTATTTAATCAATCATGTTCTTAATCGATCTCTAAGTCACATCAATTAAAATCAACTAACTTGAATTATCTCTTCTCCTAATTTTAGATGTCGAATCAAGACAATGATGGTCTTCCTCGTTCTTATGGAAATAGTTTTTCTCAATCTTCTGAAGATGGTCTTCAACTTTCAAGCGAATGTGAAAATGTCTTCCCTTCCTTAGGAAATTGGGGAACTTGACATCGTCTCTCTCCAAGTATTCCACCTCCTCTTCATGTGACTCTCCCAACGTCTTGTTTTTGTCAAGATGAAAGATATAAAACTACTCAAGCCTTATTGGCATGTAAACATTAAGATGGAAACTGTTGGATTAGTGTCTAAGCCCGTAACTATATTTGGTAAGTACTTGACCCGGTTGTGCATGGTCCTTTTGGGTTACCCTCACCAAAGCAACTTGACGGGGTGATTCATGAATAGAGAGGTTAATATGGTTTATTAATATATATTATATGTTTAATATATTAAAGGAGAAATCATATAGTTAAATTAATATTAGAAAATAATTAATTAAGAATTAATTTTGTGACTAAACAACATTAATTAAATATCGGGGACTTAAACTGTCAAAAGTGTGATAGTTGAATATTGGGCTGAGGAGCCTCTTGGGCTAGGCATGGAAAAAATTAGGGATCTTTCCATCATATTTTTGGCCATAAGGGCCCTTTTCCAAAAGCTTCCTTGGATTGCTTAAGGCCTAAGTTGTCTATTAGGGTTTAGACTGAAACCTTAGCATCACCAATATAAATAAGACCCCAAGGCATTCAATGTTCGGCCACTTGAACCCTAAGAGTCTTAAGAGCCGAAATTAAGCCTCTTCCCCTCTCTCCAATATCATCCTCTTGCTTGTCTGGTGTTTATAACCATTAGAGGAGTGATATTTGTGACTCTAAGCTCCAAGACAAGAAGATTCAAGCCATTGTTCAATAGGTAATCATCTAGACCTGTTTTCTTATGATAATTTCGAAATATGTATGCTAGATCTAGGGTTTTTAAGTCTTGGATGAATTGCATGTACAATAGAAAAACCAAGATCCAAGCTTTAGGTTTGCATGAGCACGTAGGATGTTAGTTTGTGTAAAACTCATCAGTAGTATCAGATCATGGTTGGTTTTTATTGTATTGATGCCTTGTATGTTCATCCTCTCTGAAAATCATTTTGTTTCCCTCTGCCCGAGCTGACTCGGGGAGTCACTAGCTGCACTAGGCGAGTCGGCCCAACTCGGCGAGTCGAGTTAGTGACTTGGCGAGTCGGGGTGTCAGACACAGGGATTTTCGGGATTTCTTGTCGTTTTGCTGAAGGATAATTACCAAAAACGTTTTTTACTAATAAAATCCGAATTTTATTGTTGTTATATGATTATCCTTACCAAAACAAAAGATACTTACCAATAGTTTGAATAGCAAATTCCTTATATGATAATATTTGATTATTTAAGTTATTTGATGAATTATCTTGTGAATAAAATGTAATAGGTCAAATTTAGATAATGATTAAATTAAATGTTTAATTTTAAATTATTTGCTATTTGATCCTATGTGTTTTGAAAAGTTCAAAAACTTTCCCACAAGTTTTGAAATTAAAATTTTTAATTAAAAGTTAATTTGAACTATTTAAATTTCAAACCCTAGAATTTTACAAGTTTAAAATTCAACCTTATACTATATTTATTATACGATTTATATATATATATATATATATATATATATATATATATATATATATATATATATATATATATATATAACTTAAATTGCTAGTCTTACCGTTAGTAGGCCTCATTCACGAAGTCGATCTATAGGGGGGAAGGTTATGGCCTATAAAATGGCCGTTTAATGGGTGTCCACTCTCACCCACCGCTTCCTTGATTGGTGGAGGGTCGTTAGCCGAACGGAGAGGATGTGACAACCCTTCCTCGTTAAAAGTATAATGAATTTATAAAAGTAACTAAATGTTTTTCAAAATTTCCAATCTTAGTTACCCTTGCTAATACGTTAATAATGGATTAGGTTTAGATTTAAATAATTGTTGTTATTCACCAGATATGGCAAGAAAACATCATTTCTTTTCATGGTTTATATAGACAAGGATTTAGATATTCATTTGATAATGAAAAGGGTTCTATTTATGCTTATCATAATGGTGTTTTATATTTTGAAGAATTTTCATATAATGGACTATATGAAACTGTGATGGTTGTAGATAACTTAGGAAACGATGTGTTGTTTATTGATTCTTCCAATAGTTTGGATAAAGCATGCTTTTGGAATTGTCGTCTTGGGCATGTCAACAAGAAACTCATAGCCCAACACAATATTTTGTAACCTATAAAAGGGATGCCATAATCCAAGCTATAAAATATTTGAAGGTAGGTGAATGACAATTCACCGATTTCCACCATAAAAAACGAAATGTATTACTAGGTTTTAATTGGTTTTAAAACTCCAAGATTCTTTTGAGATTCATTGAACTTTTCAATGGCAAGTTTCAATTTCGAGTGTGCCCTTCAAGTTTTGTAACTGGGATACCAAGGATCACAAAACAAGGTGTGAAATAACCATGCAAATTACTTGGTACTCTTAATGTTTATCACCTAACCGATGTGTCGGTTAACCACGCGCGCTCCACCGATCTATGATAAAACTTAAGGAAACCTTTTCCTACCTTGTTAAGTCCAAGTTAGTGTGTCGGTTAACCACACACGCTCCACTAACGACTTAAGCAAAGTGCAAAGTGTAATTTCATGGGTTAGTACCATATTCACATTTTCCTAAAGTAACTAAGATTGGGAATTTATAAAAACATTTAGTAACTTTACAATCATCGTACTTTTAATAAGGATTAAAGTCATTGCTCTACCCGTTTGGCTAACGACCCTCCGCCAGTCAAGGAAGCGTTGGGTGAGAGTGGACACCCATTAAGCTGCCATTTTATAGACAACAACCTTATACCCCCCCTTATAGACCGGCTTCGTGAATGAGGCCTACTAACGGTAAAACGACTTGTTCTTTTATATATATATATATATATATATATAACTTATAATATTATAAAGTGTAAGGGTTGAATTTTAACTTTTAAAATTCTAGGGGTTGGAACTAAAGTTTTTAAAGTGACTTGGTAACGAACCAAAAATCAAGGGTCAAAATTTCATTTTTAATATAGCTAAAACATTGATACCATTTATTCCAAATCATCATTAAATAAAATATATATCGAAGTCCATCCCAAAATCATTGAATGCGGAAAATATGGTGTGTGCATTGCGATCATTCCGGGCCCTTATTTTCTAAACCGATGATACCTGAAACAATAAACAAAACTGTAATCACGAAGCTTAGTGAGTTCCCCAGAGCATACCCCCACACAATCCACATAGCCACATAATCCATATTAGCTATAACAGCTACATAAAACATATCAATCACATATCCATATCAATCACATAGCCATGCATATAAACATATAAGGATGTCGTGGGCTCGTCCCCAAGGTCTTACTCCAGGATGCCATGGGCTCCCCACATGGTCTTACACCTAAGTGTCATGGGCTCTCCTATGGTCTATAATAGGAAAGCAATGGGCTCTCCACATGGTCTTACATTCGGTTTCCATGGGCTCTCCCATGGTCTTTAGTAGGAAAGCCATTGGCTCTCCGCATGGTCTTACATCCGGTTGCCATGGGCTCTCCCATGGTCTTTAGTAGGAAAGCCATGGGCTCTCCACATGGTCTTACATCCAAATGCCATGGGTTTCCCCATGGTCTTCCATGCAAGTATCACAAAGACAACTAGCATACCACATGCCACATAGTCAATAGCATATCACATAATCATTAGCATAATACATATACTTGCATACCCGACATATCAGTAGTGAATCTACAATAAACATTATAACTAACTGAATGGGACGACCTTGGTGCCTTAGACCCATTGGTATGGTGAGGAGACTCACCTGACACTGCTGAAGTCCTGTGGATGCAACCCCAGCTGATGGTTGACAGATTCCCGAACTGCCAACATCAAACAATACCCAATTAATAATTGGGTTCCAAACCCAAGGTCCAACTCACACCCCAAAGGCCCAATATTCAAGTAATGGGCCAAAGCCTAACATATGGCCCAATTTTCCAAATTGGGCCCAAAGCTTTACATAGTCTCATTCAAAGGCCCAAACATTTAGTCTAGTC